CTATTCACGTCTCAGCAACCTGACTACTGGTAGTTGATACTGTTCCAGCCTCCTAATATTATTCATGAGGCAGTTTTTCTATTTATGTTAATCACAGATATATTTGCATGTTAATTGCAATGTTTGTCTTAAAGCTTGTCTTAAAGCTAATATTTTCATGGGAAGAGCAGGGAGGCATTTGAACAGGCTTTTGGAATGGGTCAGAGGAGAGACCGAGCAGGGAGAATCAAGTGGAAATTTTTGGCCTTGTATTCCAGGATTGGGCAGAAGGCAGTTCCTCCACGAGTGTCAACTATGCTCTCCTGAATGGGTTTCCTAGCAGTGCCCATGGTAGGGAAAGTGGAGAGATTCTGGAGTGTGAGATGCTAAACTGAACTGCAGGGGAATGGCAGGGACAGGAGCAGCCCTCTCACAGGGCGTGGGGAGAAGTATACAGTGTGTGGACAGATGGGTGGCTTTTCCAAAGGGCAAGGAGGCAATAACAACCTCAGCCTAACTTGCCTCACTGGCAGCTGAGTTTTGACTCGGCTTCTGCAGGCTTGTAGATAAGCTCCCCGCTGACTCCATGCTTCCCCTGCTGAAGTATTTGATGTGATTTCTAATGCTACGCTGAATCTAGAGACCCCTCTCTTCTGCAAACTGACAGGCTTTTCTTGCTCAAGGCTTTAGACTGCTGATGTCTGGAGTAATGTTTAGTATCTGAGGGGACTGTAAATCCCAGAGTCGATGTGTGGTTTGTAGGGAGGATCAGGCACAGAATATCTTTTTTTTTTTTTGCTGCAGTCTCTTGCAAGTGGAACTAAGCTAGGTTCTGCTTACAGGGAGCTGGAAACCCTCCTGGAGCCAGTGGGAGTAGGGTGGTGTCACCTGACACTAAGGGGACATACAGGTTCTTTTTAGGGATCCTTGGCAGAATGATGATGGCATTAAGTCATAGTTACACTTAAAGCTTTATTTTCTTAACAGAATTTTATGATTAGTATAGCACAGAATTTATGATTAGAATGGCACAGGATTTCTACAAGCAGAATCAATGTAGTACAATCTATAAGGAGCGTAATACAGAATTTATAATACAACTTAACATGATTTCTAATCACCTGGACCTTCTGCAGATCAGGTCAGATTTTAATACATGGTTTGCTGTATCAATATACAATCATAATCCAGACTCAAAAATCATGTAAAAGAAGATGAGTCACTCATTCAATCCTTGGAGGAAGTAGACGATGGTGGAGGCATCCCTGGCCACCGGGGGTCACAGCTCTCACTGTCCAGCAGCAGCTCCGGCCCAGGTTCCCCCATTTAGGACTCATAACGGCTTGATTTTATAGACAGTGCTCTGGGTGCTGTTACGCTTCCCTGTTCTGTGACTGGATCGTCAACATCACCTGCTTGGCCGGGTGCCTGAGACCTTCAAGGCCAGCACTTTTTAACACCCTGAGCACTTTTTAACACCATGTCCTATGTCTCAGCAGGCATAACTGACTTGGTGTTAGAAGTGCCCAAAGGGGCATAAGCCTGTTGACCTGAGTTTGCTGTTAACTAAAGCAGGAAATGTGGAAGTGAGAAAACCTAGTGAGAGTGACGGGCCCCTTTGCGCCTCTGTGGACATCTCCTCACTGTTGAGTGGATCCCTGGGTGACTCTGTCAGGCTCAAAGTTTTAGGAATCTGAAGAATCCATGAAAGACATGGTAAGCAGGGTCCTGTCACAGCATGGAAACCCTTCCTAGCTGGGAACACGTGGCTTTCCTTAGGCCTCTGGTACTTCAGTAAGCTTCAGGCACCAGGTGAAGCAGGGGACGAGGGGAGGCTGTGGAAAATGCCTGGTGCTTCACTTACTTGCTGCATCCTAAGGAGTAGTTGAAGAGTTAGTTTGCAAGAGATAATGTCTCTTCGGGAAGGAAGACTCTTTTTACTAAATACTTGTTTACACAATTAGGCTTAGAGTGTAGTGTTTCTGCAAAACCCCTTTCTGTATTTCTGACCAGGACTTTGCAAAGAGAATAGAATTGACTCCTGCATCCTACCTCCAAAACATCTGGCTGTGGAGGACAGTAATCATGTTTTCCAAAGGATGTATCTGACCTCTTTAGCTCCCTCCTTTCCACAGCCAGTACAGCCTCCCAGATTCCTGCCATTTGGGAGGCAGGAGTGAGATGGAATGAATGAGCTGAGTGTCCTGAAAACTTAGAGACATGGAGAGCTCAGGGACAGAGCAGTGGACAGGACTGTCCTGTGCCCATACGCTTGCTTGTCTCAGTCCAGCCCAGACAGCCTGTTGTTAGAGGCTGCCCAAGTGCTGTTTCATGCTTGAGTGAAGGGAGGGAGTACAAACTGGCTCCTGTTGAGCAAATATCCACATCCTTGAAAAGCAGAGCAGCAGCAAGGATTGCCCTGGGAGTGAAGCAGGAGGTTTGAGTGAGGCATCTTCAGGCTCCATAGCTGCAGGATGCTTCTGTCTCCAGAGGCTGCTACCTCTTGATACAGATACCCGAACACCTAAAAGATGAACAGTATTTTGGGCTGCCTTTGCTGTAGGGAAGAGAAAGACCAGAGGGCTCTAGGGAGGGGATTCATGGCACTTTTTTGGATTGGTGCTGGTGGATGTAGGTGTTGCTGGGCTTCACAAATCCCTGATCTGGCATGATGACAATACCTTGCAAAATAACTCTCTATCCCTGTGTGAGGAGTGTCTCTCCTTTATCACCACTAAATGGTGTACCTTTGTCCAATCCTCATTTTATCCTTGTCCTCCCATGGGCAGCAGTTTTTGAGCCTGCCAGTGTGCATTACCTCAGTTTTGATGTTCCTGAGCACTGGAATTGGGACTCAGGGACTTGGTTTATGTGCTTAACTGAGCAGGTAGTTTCATGTAGACTTATTCCTCTCCTATCCTTAGTTTTCTTAGGTTTGTCGGCTAATTCTCCTGAGGCAAGGATGGTGTCTTCATTGCACGTGGACATGGTACCAATGCATTGAAGCTCTCAGTGGAATAAATTGCTTATTCCCAACTCCTGACTTCAGAGCTTTGTGTGCTAAACCTGACTCGATTATCTTAGAATGAATCTCATGTGACTTGCAAAGTAGCAGACTGGAGCAGCAGGTGGGAATCAGGCAAGCATCTGCATTTGGGACTTTGGTGACCAGGCCTCCAAATCTGTTAGAAATAGGGTTTGGGCTCTCTGGTTGTACAGGTGCTTTTGAGGCTTTTCCTGATGCTTGACATCACAGCAGTCTGCAAGGGGAGAGCGAAAGCAAAGGGGTGCTTCCCCCACACACAGTAGAGCTAGCTGCCTTTGCCATGAGAAGTGAAGGTTACCTGCATGCTTCCTGGTCTCACTGCATTTGTTAAAATTATCCAATGATCCCACATCTGGCCTTGGTGCAGCATTCTCAGTTCAAAACCTGGGCAATAAGGAGCTTTAATTACCTGTTAGAGATATCTAATATTTGTGTGCTGTTTGTGGAGGGTTTTTTTTCCCTAGCAAGAGCTGTGAAGACAGATGCGATTTGCTTAGCTGCAGCAACTTATTGGAGTTGGGATGGAAGAACAGCATAATCTTGTTGCTGTGGGTTGGGATTGTCCTCAGCAGCTGGCTTCCGCGTGGCCTAAAAGTGTTGTGTACCATGGAGTCACTCTGGGGCAGAGGGGAGAGATCCAGACAGCCCCTGTCCTGCATCCACCTTTGGATTCATGGAGAGCTGGAGTGGCTTTGGAGTACCCCAAGCCAGGCACAAGAAGGTGGGGGCAAAAGAATGGGCCTTTCTATTTGGGCTATAACAATGCATCTGCAGCCCCAGCACAACAATATAGGCATGGACATTAGCAACAAGCTGAAGGGACATGTCCTGCCTTTGCTTAGGATGTGAAATGCCACTGCGAATAGGAGGAGGATGAGCGAGGGGGTCAGACGCATTGTAGCATTTGAGTTTGTTCTCCAGTGCTTTGCCCATCCTCATCTGAAACAACTCAAGTGACAGAGCTCCAGGCACTTCCCTGGGGAGATCATTCTACAGTCTAATAAATCTCTCTCTGCTAGGAAATGTTTCTTGATAACCAGCCAAATTTTTCCTTTGCTTAGTTTCATTTGATTATTCTTAGCATCAGAGCACCCAAAGATGATCCTTCTTCTTCCTGGAGGGGTTACAATTCCTTCCCTCCTCCCTTGGCTCCACTGTTAGGCTAAGATGTTAAGTCAAATCTTGACTGAGAATGTCAGGATCTGGCCTTTTCCGTGTGCTTTTCATCTTGCTTCTTAAGTTGGCCCTTGCAGAATGCATTATGCTTTGCTGTTCTCTGTATTTCCCTTGTTATGCATATGTATATTTGTGTGTGTGTGCACATTGTATGGGTGTATGTATGGCACAGGAAGCCAAGCCTCTCATTCTGTAGCTTTCCATGATTCCATGAATCTGGATCATGGAGCTTTCATATGAGCCTAAAATCCCAGACACTTTTCCTCTTTCCTTTTTTTTTTTTTTTTTTTGTATCAATAATCATACTGGTCCTTGCATCTCCTCTGATCCTTGTGTTTTGGGCTGTTTCTCCCACAGGCACCATTAGCTTGCATTTTGCTCTCCTGTTGTTTCTCACTTTGTTCAACACCCGTTTCAAACCTAGTTGATTCACTGGGACACTTTTCCATGACTTCAACAGACCTTGGATGTCCTTGCAAGTCCTTTAATGTTGTTTCTTTGTCTTTTTCCCTCAGGTCTTCGACGCATCCAAATTACATAACGTTTGCGCCTTTAATTAGCAAGCCTCCCCCTCTGCCCCCACCCCCCATAAAAAAATCAGGTCTTGCACAAGGGCTGTCCTAGGCAGTTCCTCTGTACCTGAGCAGAAATGTTGGGACGGAGGTCTGCTGGAACAGGGCAGCATCTGTAGTTCTTGTACTTCAGTCACCTGCTGTTACCAAAGAGGAATGTTGTGTCGATGTGCATCTGCAATTGCATGTCTAACTTCACACTTGCTGTATCCACTGCAGGTTGTGCGTTCCTCACATACTGTGCCAGAGACTCTGCCATCAAAGCCCAGACAGCACTGCATGAACAGAAGACTTTGCCAGGGGTAAGTCCCAGTGAATTGTGCCTGGAGCTCATGCCATGGGCAGGCGAATGGGGGATTGTCAGGGGAGGGAGTGAAGGTGAGAAGTGGTTTAGATTAATTTTCCTGCTTGTGAAAGAGAAGTGTGGTTTGGGGGTTAGAACAGGGATGTGGGAGCCAAAGCACAGCACTGCTCTTCACAGAGCTGCTGCTCTTTTCTCCACCTTGCCAAGGCTGCCCCATGTAACTTCAGCCAAGCCTATTTCTGTGCTGCTCTTTGGTCTCTGTGGTGTTGTGTGACATGACATCTTCAGCTATCTGTCCCTGTCACTAGGGAGTTGTGGGCTTTGGGGTGAAGTGCATGGGCCCAGCCTGCACAGTGGGCATGCTGGAAAGCTGACAGGAGACAAGACAAGGTACCAGACCCTTTTCCTCTAGGTGTGCAGAACTTCCTGGTGCATCCACTCCTAGTCAGCCATTGCCCTGCAGGGTGCCTGGACAATTTGTTGGGTGGCTCTATGCAGGACCCAAAATGACTTCTAGTGCAGTGGCTGAGTTGCATCAGCTTCTCAGAAGAAAAAAATACACTTGCCACATCCCGTTGTTTGGAAGAGAAATGGGTTACATAGGTGAGACCAAGACTGCTGAACTAGCTGTGGTCTGTTCCTGTGTCCTGCTCACTCCACAGCTGGTGTTGGGAGCAAAGTGCAGTAGGGATCTCCTCACAGGGAAGTCCTCTGCCTCTCTGGGACCTGCTGATGAGCTGAAAGGAGTTCTGAATTGTTGCCATTCCCATTTTGGTATGATTTGAGAGCTTTGACTGGGCAGTTCCCTTGCTGCACTGAGGGGTTTGATCAAGCATGTTGGAAGGATTCATTTGGAGGCGAGTGGGCGGAGGAGTTGGGTACTTATAGACAGAAGCTCACAGGAGGCCCTGAGTGCTCAAGGCAACAGAATAATTAATGTAAACCAGGGGTCTCTGGAGAGGGGTTAGGAATTAACATTTCCTCTTTAACCCATACAGGTCCAAATAGCTTCCCTCACCTCTCCCAGCTCCCCTCAAGACCTCCACACGCATACATCTTTTTCCATATTTGTTTACCTGTACTCCTTTTTTGCATGGGCCTGTGTTGACATTTGAGGGCTGGAAAATGCACGTAACAATTACCACTTAATAGGATCTTTACTGTTTCAGGTTATCTCAGGGGAGCAAGGGGGAAGAGTGCAGATAACCAGGTGCTCAAATACTGTTTGAGTTAATTTTGCGTGAGGGGAAAAGGTCAGCCTTTCAGGCTAAAGCAATGTAATCTGTGTGTGTTGGTCCAGGGCAGAATTGACCGAGTCTATAAGAACAAGTCAAAGGATGGAAGAGCAGTCTTGATGAGTCATGGTACAGTGCTGTAACACAATGGAGAAGACAGACATGTCTCTACCTAGTACCTGTAGAGGGACTCTGAAAGGTCTGAAGGCTCGGTGGATTCAAGGCAATCTCAGTTTTGCTGCAGTTCTACATCGGGAATTTGTTGCATGTTTCTCTATGTTCTCTACTGTTTGTGCTCTCAGTGGTTATAGAACGCTGCATGGAGTAGTATTTAAAGCAGCAATTTATCTGTGATGTGGTGATCTAAAGGCTTTTTATGTTAAGGGAGGTGTAAGAAACTGCTTGGGAACAGTAAGAAGTCTGTGCTAGCTGAGTACTTTCAAACATGTTTGTCTGGAGACAGTTAACGAGCAATGTGGTGTAATTAAGCTTCAGGATTATGATGAAGATGAGCTGTGCTGCATTTGGAGCTGTCTATTTTAAGGCTGGCAATACACCACTTCATCACATTTAGTTTCTGTTTTGGAAAGTCCCTCAATGACCAAGAAGGCAGGATTCTCTCTCTTTGGTCATTTTAGTGGCCATTTAGAGATGGTTACTACCAGAATGGAACAGACCTCCGTCCTGATATGCATAGAGTTGGTCTTGGCATGGACATGGGCTGGGTGACCTGAGGTAGCTTTCAGCCCTGTTTTCTTAGCCTGGTTTGTTTGTATCTGTATAGTATCACCCATCCGTCTGACCCAACTGATTACAGAGAATACTCTGGAAATGAGTCACAGGCAGGAGTGCTAGGTAACTGATTGTTTCCCTGTTTTGGGAACAAGGTCTTGAAATTTCATCTCTGTACATTCACATCTAGATCATCTTCTGATGAACTCTGTGGCAAAGCCTCTTACCAGAAATATAGCGAGGACCCTAGCATAGGACAGAGAACAATGTACTGGCCCACACTGCTGGGATTTCAGTAAATGGGCCGTAGTCTGGTAAACAAGCGATTTCTTGTTCATTTTACCCATTTACTATCTCTTTATTGCATATAGCAATAGCAGGAAGAAAGTTTAAGAGTGTATGACATCAGTGTAGGGTGACACAAACTGTCATCTGAATGCATGACCAAGCATCAGCATGTTTAGAGACAGCAAGGGATCAAACTGAGATAGAAATTACCTTGTTGGTAGTCCCACGCTTGCCATTGTATTGCAAAGCAACCATAGATGCCATGAGTACCCAAGTAGCTTCCTTTGTTGGTCTCAGTGCAGAGACCAGTGGTTGATCTCAACACTTCATGAACCTGAATAGAGACAAATGGCTTGCTTAGTCTAGACTGAGGATTTGGTAAGGACAGACTTAGGGAAATGCTTTGATATGGTTTCTGATAGGTCCTTAGGCTGTGATCAGGCAGCTGAAGCAGGTCTGGGTTCTCTTCCAAGTCTGTCACTGGGTAGGCCTGTGCCCACAGAGGTATTGCGTAGGCGCTCCAGATCTGATGCTAGCGATGTCAGCCCATCTGAGAATGCTGCCACTTTGTTCCTGCAGGGCCATACCTGCAGTGTAGCTTTCCTGAGGTTTTATATTTATATTGTAGGTTTTCCACATAAGTCAATAGGAATCACCATGGTCTCTATTTGCTTTTATGGCATTTCTGGCAAGTTCTCCTTTTGGGAGATCAAAATTCTCATTTATTTTTAAATTGAGTGTTGTTGGATGTATGGTAGCTAAATAGAATTTAAAATCAAAAAGGCTTATTTTTTGACAGTAAGGTTTAGCATCTTTTTCTGAAGGTAGACAGATTTTTTGGCTTTCACCCCCTTTTTTAAGGGCTAGTGTGCTCAGCGTGTAAAGCAAGAAGACTGTAAGCTGTATATTGTATTATCTAAAACACCTGTGTTGCCTTCAGAGCTGGTGAATTGCTATCAGTGCAGTCTGGAAGTAACAAATGTGTGAATCTTCCTTTGGGGAAGGAAGGATGGAGCTTCCCACAACAGAGAGGTAAAGTGCATCCTTGGTGAATTAGCAGAAATGTCTGATCACCCAGGCTTGCTAAGGAGCTTAAAAGGATGCCAAGTATCTATGCCCTTGCTGTCAGCTGTGATAAGCAGGAAGAATGCCTTGCCTTGTGGCTGTGTGGGCAGGGAGCCTATTTCCACACACTGTGGTTGTGGGCCCTCAGATTTGGACAGCAACCTGTGAACATCAGCACAGCCAAGGGACTGGCATGCAAGCAAGACAGGTTTGCGCATCAACCTGGTTGGTGCATGTGACAAGCGGGAAGCACATCACACCTTGCTCACAGTGACTCATGCTGTGCAGCATATAGACAGCGCCAGCATCGTGGCCAGTTCTCTGCCCAGCACCACCTCCTAGCCAGCCTGACACATTCCTACTCCCTGCCCTTCACAGTACTTTCTGTGTCCTGCATGTGCAAAGATCCTGTTTCGTGTTCCCCAGTTTTGCTTCCTGAGGACAGGCTGGGGAACTGCACAATTAAGTCTGACTCAGTCCCAATAAAGCAGTTTGATGAGCTTCAAAGACTCAACAGAAATGGAGACAGATCTGCCTGAGGAACAAAATAGAAACCAGCTCCTTTTGTGGCCTGTGTCCGCAGGGCTTGGAGAAATACACACAACCCATGGAAGCTGAACAGAGGCAAAATCTTTGGACCTGAAAAGCAGAGAGGGAATCAAGCCTTTATGCTTCTTCCTAAATGTAGTGTCCTCTTCAGCTGCAAGCCAGCCTAGCAGTGCAGTGTTTCACCTTCTCCCCACTCCCTGGCACACTCCTCCCTGCCTCGGTGAAATGATATTATATCTCAATAACCCATGCCTTTGATTCTTGATTGTGCCTTCACTTTACTGAGTTCTGAAAGAGAGGTTATTAATGACACGCAGTGATCACACAACAAGTTAAAGCCTCTTGCTAAGTGAAATTTGAAAAGCCAGCTTTTCAATATTTCGCAGAAACGCTTTGTGTCTCTTTTCATTTGCAGCCAGACAGTTGCAAATTACATAAAATTGCTCCTGAAGAAGAAGGGGAAGAAGAATAGAGGGAGGAAGTGGAGGGGGAGAGGTTTAAAAAAGTAATTCTTCTGGCAAGGTACAGTTACAGTTTTATTTCTATGCAGAACAAAGAAGGGCTTGCTGGAAGGTAGGCAAGTAAGTGGCAGAAATTGGTATTGATCCAAGCTGGGTATATGGGCAGCTTAGGAGCAGTGATGGGGGCACTGAAATGTGGCTACATCAGGGGGAGAACTCATGGATACAGTGACGGCTTGGGAACACAGGGACACAGGAATGGAAAATTACAGAGAGCAGCAGCATTAGAGCAGAGAGAGACTCTGGGAATGCACCAGGGGTTGAGATGCTGCAGCACTAACTCAGGAAGTTGGGCACAAGGATTAATGCAGAGACCCAGCAGAGCTTGAGCAGAGGACATCCCTGTGGGCAGGCTATCTCCTGTGCTGCCAGGAGCAAGGGCTCACCATGGGCCATCTGTCAGGATCCACAGCCCGTGATGATATAAGGGAGCACAGGTGACAGGAGGGGTTTTGGTAGAGAGGTCAAAGCATCTCATTCTCCCCTCCCCTCCCCTCTCTTTTATACAAGTGCTGGTGTGAAGCCAGCCTGGACCAGTATTTCTGAAAGTTTTTTCATGTGAACACTACAGGATATTGCAGCTGGCAAAGCTGGGAGACATGCTGAGG